AACTTAGGAGGAGAACTATTTAGCAGGTTGTAAGTGTGCAGTGAGTAACTTGTGCATTTCTATTCTGAGTGTGCAATAGGTAGCAGAGCGGTGTGGAGGATGTGAGGCTAAATTTTCTTGCACAGATTTCCCATGCTGTTGTGAGCTTTGTTGTCTCGTGTGCCATATGAAAGAGCAGAGTGGCGTCCTAGCTCCTTCTTTTCTAGCCGCTGCAGCAAAATGCCCTGGAGGAAGAAATGTAGGAAATAAGAGTTTATTTTAGCCTGCAGGTGCCGGTTACAGTCTGCCATAGCTGCAGAAGCTGGAGTGAGCTGGTCACATCACATTCACCATCAGAGAGCAAAGAACACATGCAGGCTTTGGCTCAGCTTTCTGACTCCACCTTCATGCAGTTCAGGATTGCCTGTTTAGGGGATGGTGCCACTCACAGTGGGTGGGTGTTTCCACCTCAGCTAATGTAATCAGGATAGTCCCCCATAGCCATGCACATAGACCGGCCTGATCTACACAATCATGCATTGAGACTATTTTTCAGGTGATTCTAGATTTTATTAAGTTAACAATTAAGACTAGCCATTAAATCAGCATATGCCAAGATGTAGATTACAGAAGATCCAGACACACTTTCTAAAGTAATGAAAAAGGAATTTATTGGTACTTGTTGATGTATGTTTCCCAAACACTAGAGGGGCACGCAGCTTCACAGGAAACTTGAGCTAGCAATTCAGTGATATCATCAAGGGCCCACTTCTCACAGGGCATGGTGGCATGTATCTTTAATCCCTGCACTCAGGAGGCAGAGGCAAGTGGATCTCTGAAAGTCTGAGACCAGCCTGAACTACGTAGCAAGGCCAGACTATCCAGAGAGTACAGTGAGACCTTGTCTTAAAATAACAAAGCAAACAAGCAAACAAAAAGTGCACTTCTCCTCATTTCTCTGCCTTTATTTCCTGTGACATATGTTGATTTACATGTTAGCTTCCCTTCAGATGACAAATGGTCAACTGTAGATTGCGTATTTTACATTGTCCAGCAGAAAAAATACTGCCATTACATTGTTCTGCTCAAAAGCCCTAGTATTGAAATTTGTTCCTGTTTAAGTCTCTTCCCAGGCCAGTCCTTGCAGCCGTGGGTCTGGGAGGTAATGGCTGGCTTACTCTTCCTGCATGTGCTTCATTCTTGGGACTGGAGTGCAGCCATCTCCTCAGCATTTCATGGGTCTTCAAAGTCCCAACCCGGGGGAGTTTGCTGACTCCAGGTTCTAGACCGGAGCACAAAGCTTGCTGCAGTCTGCCAGTTGGGTTGACACTACATTTTGATGTGGAACGAAATCTTACTCTAGCTGCTCCAAGAAACACATGGCCATCTTTGCATGAGTTCTTGGTTTCTTTACCCGTAGAAAAGGAGGGATTTGGTTTGGATTTATGGACTTTTTTTTGGTGGCTGCTTTTATTAGTAGCTTTCATGACAGCTGCTTTCCAACACCTTCTGGTGTTTGTGTGTCATTAAAGCCAGGACTGAGCTCCAGCCTCTCTCAGAAATAAAACTGGTGTGGATTTTAGAGGTTGGCTAAACCTACTTCCAGCTATGGAAGCAGCTACCAGGGATACCTGGCTCACAGGGCTGTCACTTTAGGTTCCTGTAACAAAATCTTGGAGGCTGGGTCCTTCCTAAAGAAAAGAGATTTGTTTAGGTTACAGTTTTGAAGGCTAAAATCCCAAATCAGAGAGCCCCTTTGGTTCACTTTCTATGGGGAGGCTGCAATGGCAGATGACATCCTGGTAGGAAAGAGCATGCACTAAGACCGGAAGACAATGTGTGGACAACAGACAGGCTTGCTCTTTTAAAACAAATCTGTCTCGAAAACTAAGGTCCCGTGAGAAGTACATACCTTCCTTCCAAGAGCAACACAACTAGTGACCTAGTTATTGTGTCCACACTTCTCCATCTTAAAGCCCCTAATGTCACCTGATATTTCCATAGTAGACCACAGTCCCAACAAGCAATTACTTGGGTGTGTGTTGGGGCACATTCAAGACATAGCCAAGCCATAACAAGACTCAAAACATCTGCATAGAGAATTTCTTAGTTGAAGGTAGCATCAAGTCGAGTTATCTGCTCTTCAGCGGCATATAATTTCCTAGCCTGGATATACAATACACCCTCGCCTCTATCACAATGCACCCTTACTATCTTCATTGAAAATAACTTTGTTATGTTTCCTCCCACTAGAATATAAGGCTCACAAAAGCAGGACACATATCTATCTGACTGATTATAGGTTACTACTGTGGGAAATCAAGGGCAGTGTTACTGAGGATGTTAGGAGACAGAAGAGACCTCCAGGATCCCCTACTGAGGGGGAAGGATGTGGGGCATTAACCCACCGACTCCCAGTGGTCATGGGGTTAGGACTTCTCATTGCAGACACTGATGATCCATTTGTTCTGCCCTGTCCTGCCCACAGGCAGAGTAGGACTCTCATGGCTACAGTGTATCTGTGCCAGAGACACAGCACTAAACGTCTTAGCACTTCTAGCTGGTAGCAGTTGAACACACTTGCACAGTGGTGGTGAGTGCTGAGGGAATGAGAATATGGATGAGGCGGCCACCATGGCTACTACACAGTTGACTGGCAAATGGCGACCATTTTGGGGTGATTCAGAAAGACAAGCTTGAGACAGGGCTAGTGCCCTCGGTGTCACAATATGCTGCCAACCCAGAACAGTTTTTTATTAATTAAAATCTGATTTAAATCTAAGGAATGTTCTGAATCTCCCCACTCTAGTTTTTGCCTGAACATCCTCAGGATGCTCAGGGCTCATGTTAGCTTTTGGTGTGTGGCCTGGTTAACACAGGGATAAAGGTACCAACCCTTCCTGTTAGCCTAGAGTGGAGCTTCAGCCTTAGGTGCACAGTGGTGTAACCTGGAGATCCTTAAGGTAGCCGGATGCTCAGGGCACCATTAGAGATCTTGACCAGATCCTTCTGGGATAATGGCTCTGCATTAGGATGTCAAACAATATCCCCTTCCCTGCTCCCTAGGAGATGATGATGTAGTATGGAATGCTCACTGTGTCTGCATCTAGTGCAAGCATCTTTGAAGCTCAAATTATCTAGCTTCATGCACAGCTTGGTTTGATGGTTCATGATGTCATTAAGGGCTCAATTTCTTTTATTACTACACCCCTAACTTGCCTTATATGACTGGTGTCTGCTTTATTAGCCCTTTGGTTGGCAGAAAAATTCTTGGAATTCCTAGTTACCAGCACATCCTAGGGCATGGCTCTTCCTTTTCATGCCCAGGAGAGAGAGAGAGAGAGAGAGAGAAAGAGAGAGAGAGAGAGAGAGAGAGAGAGAGAGAACCCTTGTCCTGTTATTCTCCACACAAGTTTTGAGATTCTTGTAGTTTGACCTAACCCAGGTCTCATTCTACCATGACAAAGTTGTTCTGGGCATGAGTGGTTCAGGTCATCAGTTCCATTCTAGTGATGGATATGGACAGTTTCCCATCTTAGCCTTGTAGACTACTCTCTGGGCAGTGTCTAAGTATGCTAATGTTCAGGCCTCATCTTCAGAGATTATTCTTTGACATTGGGTGGGGCCTAGGCGTTGGTATTTTTTATTAACTCCCCAGATGGCTCTGAGACACAGCTAGGTCAGAGACCCACTGAACATCATTTAGCTTAGCGATGTAACATGGACCACATAAGGGGCCATGACTATAGATGCTCAGTTTGGGTCCAGGAGGATGAATGACTGGGGACAAGTCACGTGTCTAGCAGTCTTATAGGGTCATATGACTGTACTCAAGACACTCAAACAGAGAAACAAAGCTGCGGAACAAACTGTGAGAGAAGATAGCCAGTGGCCACCAGACTGGTGCTGTGCACACATGCGCACAGGTGCTGTGGTGGCCTGTCCCCAGCTGTCAGAGCCATCTATCCTCTGTCTGCCAGTTCCCTCATCTAATACATGGCCTTGAAGAATACCCATGTGTCATGGTTTTGTCAGTTTGACACAAACCTAGACATACTTGGGCCAAGGCAATCTCAGTTAAAGAATTATCTCCATTTGATTGGCCTATGGCACGCCCATGGGAGACATTTTCTTAATTGCTGATTGATGTAGGAAGGCCTAGCCCATTGTGGATGATACCATCCTTCAACAAGTGGGCCTGGACTGTTTAAGAAAGGCAGCTGAACTGGAGCTTCAGAGAGAGCTAGGAGGCAAGCCAGCAAGCAACAATCCTCCCTGGTGTCTGACTCAGTGCCTGCTTTAGCGTAAGATGAAATAACCCCTTTTTCTTCCCGAGTTGCTTTTGGTCATGGCGTTTGTCACTGTAACAGAGAATAAACTGCAGCACAGTGTCTCTCTTAACTGACGCCATTTGCGGGAAATGCTCTCCATTCTTAGATCAAGGGGAATCCTCTCACAGAGTGGGAATGCTGTACGAGGAAGGTTCCCCTTAGCCATCTAAGCTTCAGGGTTCTCAAAAGTAAAACCGAGAAGAACCTACCTTCTGGAATGTTCTGCCATGAACATGAAATAAGAGAATGCCTATAAATCTTGTAATGCAGCCCTTGACAGATAATAGCGCTTCCTTAAATCTTTTCAAGGATGTTGTTAGAAAAATTTTAGTGTGCTATCACTGGAAAAAATAATACACATGATGTTGAACCCAAGCGATCATTTTATGGTTATAAAATAAAACTCCTTGATCAATCTTTGGACTCTACCCCCTCAGCAGAGAGGCCTGGTCCTTCTTTTCAGCTCTGTAACCCCTACGGTCACACGTGGGGCTCTGGGTTTTCCATCTTGGAGTCTTGGGAGGGGCAGTCTTGTTAGACAGGAGATGTTGTGACACTGTGGCCCCAAGAAAGTGCTAGTAACCCCATGGTTACTAGTAATCCAAATGGATGGACTAACTATCCCTCGTCATAACTTACCTCTCCTGAGCAACGGAGTCATGGAAGAAATGATTGAGAGTGTACGAAATAGTTCCGTTTATTGATTAGAACAGGGTATAAAAGTACAGCATTTCACAGGCATTCTGGACGTTCTGGGAGGGACATGCAGTGTGGGCTTGAGCAGGGGATGAACGGAGAGAAGGGCCAGACCATGGACAATGGTTCCCCTCCCGGGCGTGTTAAGAGACTTGCTCTGTGAGCACGGATGCTAATGTGGGAGAACTATTACTCCCTACCTCTGGAAACAAAAGATGTGAGCAGTTTGGGTCATCTGATGACACCATGCTTGATAATTCTGTCCTATTCTACATGTGTTAGGTGCTGCCTCTCCCAATCTTGTCACAATACACTCTAATTGTTCTGCATAACACTCTTTCTTCCCACCAGAGGAAGAGAAACAGGCACGTTGGCTTGGGAGGCCACCAGAGGAGGGTGGACATTTGGCTCAGGTCCTCTGGCTTCCAGATTCCTCCGGGTCTGCCCGACTTGGAGGCAGTGAGTCGGGGACACGTAAGCATGAAACTGTGCACTGCTGTGTGAGCTCGAGAAGAGGGGCCTTCCACAGGGCGGCAACATGAAGAGATGGGCATGCTTCTGAAACAAACTCAGGTTTCACCTCGTCTCTCTCAAGAGGAAGAAGGAGAGCGAGTTGGCAATCAGAGACTGAGCCACGCGATTCCAGGTTTTGTAGAAAGTCTTCAGCAGAGAATTCTTCCAAAGTGGAAAAGGTATTTCTGTCCCAAGAGTTGGTGTGTAGAATCAGAACAAGGGCAGATCAGGGCGCTGAGGTGTTTGTTCAGTGTCTCTGAGAGCAGGATGGCGAGCGTCCTTCGTTACATAACGTTTTGGAACAGCTGTAGGGATCTCATGATGTTGTCATCCTGGGAAGAGAGTGGTGGGAGAGAAGATGGTTAGAGACGTCTGAGGCTCTTGCCTGAGTGTGTAGTACTCAAGAAAATCTCAAGAGTGGGGGTCCCATACTAAGGGAAGTGTGCAGCAGCATTGGCTACATGCAGGGAACAAGAGGCAGAGATCTAGCTAGCGCTTTGACATTTAGGAGAGGAAAATGCATTGTTTTTCTTTAAGATGCTCTGTCAATGTGTTGTATCAAATGATTTTCTATATCCGTGGAGATGATCACATTTTTCCTATTTATTTTACTATTGTAATTATTTATACTGACTAATTCTTGGATGTTAAACCAACCTTCCAACATCCCATCTTAGGGTTATAGTCTCATCAAGCAAGCTGAGAAGGTCCTCTTGTATTCTCTCTTCCTTAAGAGTGATATCATTTCTTCCTTACATGTTTGCAAGAATGCTATAAACTATTTAAGCCTGTCATTTTCTCTGCAGTAAAGTTTTAAATTACAGATTCAACTTTTTTAAGACATAGGGCAATTTACATTTTTGTTTTCTTTTTGTATTAGTTTTTATAAGATATGCTTTGTAAGGACTTCATACATCTTAGGCAAATTGTCAAATTTACCAAAGAAGTTATTGTCTTTTACTATCAGAAAACTGGCAGGAGATGTTATTATTTCTACCTCTGATCTCAACTATTTGAGGATTTAAAAAATATTTCTCTTTTTACTTAGCCTTGGTAAGCAATTATCAGGGTTATTTTGTTTGTTTGTTTGTTTTTTGAGGCAGGATTTCCCTGTGTAACGGCTCTGGCTGTCCTGGAACTCACTCTGTAGACCAGGCTGGCTGTACAAGGCTCTACCTACCCCTGCCTCCTGAGTGCTGGGATTAAAGGTGTGACCACCAAGCCCAGATTTCTAAGGTATAAATAGTGAAGGTGTAAAGTTCTTAAATCTTTGCATATTAAATGCCACACTTCTACATTTTAATCTAAAATATAGTGAAAATATGAAATATTAAACTTTGTGAGATGTAAAGCAATGCTCAGCTAAAGCAATAGTTAAGGAAATTGACCCTGTATGTGCGTGTGTGTATCCCACTGAGTTTAAGATTAAGAAAGCAGACTTTTAAAAGAGAAAAATCAAGAGAGACAAAGTTGATGGTGAGGATCCGAATCTTTGTAAGTTGCTAGGGGTTCTGGAGTCAGGCAGCTTGTGTTCAAGCCTGGAACCTTTCACTTCCTACCCATGGTACTTAACCTGTCTGTGTCTCAGTTTCCCTGGGTATACAGTATGGTTGCATATAATGTCCACCCACGGCAAGGTGGTGGGAAAAGCGAGTTACATAAAGAATTGCCGTGGATGGTTCTTGTGTGAGGAAGAAGCTCCAAAAATCACTCTCATCTGAAAGTCAGGAAAGAGCCCTTCTGTCAGGCATGGTGTGTGACATTAGCATGACAGAGTTTAAAACCCATCTCTGTCACTCCCTGTAGTGTTAGCCACACCTCCTAACGCTGGAGTGCCCCTGTCTTCTCTCCTGGAAATGGGTATGAGAGGCACAGCTGCTTAGCCTGTCCATATGATGAAATATGAAAGCATTTCTAATTCCACAGGTGATGCTGCTGACCCGATTCTACTCTCCTCGGGGTGCTTCCTTCCAGGTTCCTAGGAAGTTCCTCGGGATCCCCAGACAACTAATGGGTGAACACCAAGCTCAGCGGGGACACTCTAGGGCAATGGTAAGGGTCAGTGTCGAGCTGGGCGGTGGTGGTGCACGCCTTTAGTTCCAGCACTTGAAAGGCAGAGGCAGACAAATATCTGTGAGTTTGAGGCCAGCCTGGTCTACAGAGTGAGCTCCAGGCCAGCCAGAACTGTTACACAAAGAAACCCTGTTTCAAAACACAAAAGACAAAAACAAAAACAAACAAAGTAGTCAGTGTTCAGCCTGTCCTAATTGTCAGCTGTCTGGAATACTGTCAGGTGGAGCATCTGCCAGGAGGGTTTTCATGTGAATGAAACTTGGTTAGCGCTCTATGCGTTAGGGAAGCTTAGGCTGTACTTTTGTGGAATGAGGTGGACTATAAACCTTTTAAGTAGACAAAGTAACTATTTCCAGCTCAGTGCCCGGCTGTGCCAATTTATTCATGAGACTTAACCAAAGCACGGTCCGGGGAACAGTAGTGCAGGGTCTCCTCAGCAGTGTGCACAAGGGAAGCCTGGGCTCTGACCCGTGCAGGCCCCACCTGCACAAAGAGTTTTGTTTTGCATAATCAAGTCCTAGCAGCCTTGGTACTGAGTATTTGCAGCGTGATGGCAATTTCTAGACCCTTCTAGAATGTCTGGAATTGTAGTTTGCAGACACACTTTTGAAAGAACTTCAGGCAATTCTCTGTTCACTGGATTGAGCATCGTGTTGAAGGTCTTCCAGCTGTGCCTCTGCATCTCAAGAGCAGGCACAGGGGTAGCAAAAAGGACAGGCTCACCTATTTAGCAAATCTCAATCTATGAAGGCTTTCTGGCCTTCACATCTCCTAGACCTGTGCTTCTTCTATCTGCTCATCTTGTGCTGAGCAGGCCAGGCTGGGGTGTGGAGATGCTGGGCTTCTGAGTCTAGGGTTGCAGGTGTGTGAAGATTTCGGACCCCTCCCCCACAGTCTCCATGCTCCGGATCCCAAAGCCAAGAGCAACTGTGTCCCGAGATCCGTCCTTACCTCCTGACAGGATTCAAGAAATTCATCTAAAGTTACGATGCCATCTTTATTTTTATCCATTTTCTGAAAGACACAATAGAGAGGTCTCTAAAGAACCTGGAATTTCACATTTCAGAATTTTCTCCGTGCTAAGCCCAGAGTTACAATGGTCTTTTGTGAGTTAGTTGGTTCCTCGTTACGGTATTATGGTTCTCAGGAGCTTCCTTACTTCAAAAGATTGGTCCCCACACTAACCTTATTGCTACATTATTGCTCTGATGACATCCCAACATGGAGTAGTCTGTTTCTGTTACTGCAGCAAAAGGCTGAGGGTGGGTGCTGTAGAAAGAAAAGAGGCCTCCTCTTCTTACTGTTCTAGAGGCTTAAGAGCTCGACACCAGTTTCTGTCTGGTGAAAGCCTCATGAAGGACGGCATCATTTTAGTGGGCACGCGTGGAAGAGGTCACACAGGCAAGCAGGAAGCCAGAGAATGAGGAAGAGCCAGCCTTGCTTATTCAGTTCTGGCCCATGGTATCTGCAGCACTCGTATCTCTGAGGCAGAGTCCCGAGGACCCAGTCAACTTCCATCAGCTCCATCCATTAAGGATTCCATGACCTTAAACACTGCCGTGCTGAGGACCAGGCTCCCATAAACCTTGGAGTACACCTAACCCATTTCCAAACCACAACACCCGCTCCACACACTTTCCGCTGGCCTCTCTATCTGGCAGAAAGAATGCTGGGCACAGAAGGTTCTGGTCTGTCTCTGTGCGGATTTTCTGTGTAATTTTTCAAGATATCAGAGAGATCTCTTTTCTTAGCTGCAAAGTGGGAGGCTTGGATTAGAGTGAGTTGGCATTTTTAAAAAGTACTTTATATTGTTAGACTTTTAAAAAAATATTTATTTATTTGATATACACTGTTGTTTTGCCTGTATATACTCTGTGTGACGGTGTCAGACCCCCTAGAACTAGAATTACAGACAGTTGTGAGCTGCCATGTGGGTGCTGGGAATTGAACCCAGGTCCTCTGGAAGAACAGTCAGTGCTCTTAAATCGCAGAGTCATCTCTCCAGCCCTGACTTTTTTTTTTTTTTTTTAAGGACACCACTCTCCACTCAGTCATGAGCAGTGTCCACCCATCCTTTACTAAACGCTCCACTTAGGGATCTTGAAGTCTGGCTTTACCGCTTTAATAGGTTCCGTTTATTTCCCTTTGCAGCCCAGACAAACGTGCTCAGGAAGCACACAGATGCAAGGAATGAACTCTTCTCTACTCAAGTAGAGAATTTTGAGAATTTTTATGGCCCCTAGCATTTATAGTCAATGATGTCATACCCTCTGTTCTCTTCCGTAACAGACCCTGGTCTGCCTCACATCTATCAATCATCTATCAATCTACCTATCAAACATCTACCAATCAGTGTAAGCCTGTGCACAGGAGCATACGTACCTGGAAGAAGACGTCCACGTGCTGCCTGGGAGTATCCTCTTTGAGCACAGGATAGGTGTATTTCCCCATCATGTCGTAGATGGCCTTGACTATGTCCATCATCTCCTGGAAGGGGACATGGAGGCACACACTGTTGGGACCATGAGGTCACACCTTCTTAGGGGGGCAGAATTTAGGAATTTTTAAGGGTTCCTCTTGTCAACCAGAGTGGTTAAGAGAGCTGTTTTAAAGAGATGAATGGGAGCTAGAGGACAAGATGGAATCCCCGCCTCAGAGAAAGTGGGGGACTCCTTCCTGACCTCAGATGTCTTGGTGGTTACCTCTTCTTGCTGTGTCCTCAGGGAGGGGCAGCATTGAATTCCCCATTCACAGACTGAGACAATGGAGTGTTATTCTGGCTTAAAGACAATTTAGGCTAGCCTTTTAAACACCCTCATGGGTTCTGTTGCTATTTTAAGTAAAGAAAAAAGTAACTAACATAAGGATTATCAGCAGGACACTTGAGGTTTTCTCTAAACCTATAATTAATAATTTTAAACTTACAGAAAAGTTGCAAAACTAATATGGAGGGCTCATGTAAACTACCTCTTACCTAGTTTTCTTTAATATTAAAACTTGTGAAACCATAGAAAAGTAATTGAAACCAGGAAATTAGCATGGCTACAATATTACTAGCTAAACCATTGAGTTTATTGATATTTCATCCATTTTCCCATTGACACTTTTCTACTCAAGATTACACTTTGTGTGGAGCTGTGTGCTCTTCATGTTTTCAGGACCCTGACATGCATGATGGGCATGTTGCTCAGTTGTTTTGTAGACGGTCTCTTAGCTTGTGCAAGGTTTTGTAGCAGTGATGGATGTTCTGTCCTGTCAGTGCACCATCAGGGAGATACGCGGTGTGGCTATGCCTTGTGATTGGTGATTATTTGATTATTTGATTAAGGGGTTGTCTGTCAAGTCTGTGAGTTTAATATTTGTCAATACACCTTGAAAGCAAAAGTGATCACTATGGTATTTGTTTGATGACAATTCTATATTACTCTTAAAAAGTTAATGTTTTAGATAAGAGATTTAAAAATTCTCTATGATTCTTTTGCTGTTTTAAATTAGGACAAGGGAGCCAACAGCCAACATCTACAGCATACTTGAGGCTTTCTTTAAGTAGGTTATTAATAACTGTAGATGTACTAAAATACTTCTGTAAGCAAGAGATGCCTATTTTCTTTTATGTATTTAGTTCTTTGAGATTGTGGACATCTATTATATTTTGCTGGTGACAATCCAAGATTATCATGTTTTGTTTTGTTGATTAATTTGCCCTCGTATTGGCTTATTAAAGCTCCTCCAGGCCGCTGCCTGTAGCTGTCAGATCTGCCCCAACCAGGATTCAGGCATTTTCTATTTCTCCTTTCCCAGTTCCAAGACAAATAGACTGGATCTTTTTTTTTTTTAAATGGATAAAGGTATTTAGGAAGAATTATCAGTGGTCATTTCTCCAGGACTGCCCCAGCATATTTAACTAGGAAATGGATTTGTATCCACATATCCGTTTCAAGAGAAGCACTTTACTGGCCTTTCATATCCATATGGTCGTTGAGTTCTTTCCTGCTTGAGAACTTTTTATCAAAGAAGGGACAGAAAGACCAATTTTGGTTGTTTGGGATTCTCATTGCCTGCAAACGTGATAAGAATGTTCCAGAATGATTGCTAGGAAGACGCCTCAGGAATCTACTTAATCACACTTGTGTCCACCCCACCCTTAATTCTGCCACCTAGAGATGTCTGATAGACATTAATGGTGATAATTCTGTCTACTTTGTTCATTACAAAAATGGAATAATTAGTAGGTTTGTTTAACAATGTGATGGGAAAATGTATTGATTCAAGGTTGAAGATCAGATGGCATAAAACCCATCTGAGGTTCCTTTATTTAGGTGTTGTGTAAAGTAGTATTTGAATATCTTAATTTAGAGTATCATGCATGTAAGTATGTGTGTAAGAACTTAGATGTTCATGAGCTTTGTCACACACATTGACTAGTTCTTTTTTATTCTTATTTTTTATTGAGCTCTACATTTTTCTCTGCTCCCCTCCCTACCTCTCCCCCATTGACTAGTTATTACTGAATTAGCACAAACTATTTGCTCACCTACTTCGTTCATCGTGTTTATTTTTCATTTAATTGTGAGAGCTCTTTATATACTTCGTGGGATGTATACATTTACTTATGGGAAATTTTAAAGTATGCACCATGTGCTAGACATGATGCCAAGGAGATGCAAGGGAAGCGGATGTGAGGCCTTCTTTAGCTAGTGCTGGGAAGACGTACCATCGCTTTCTACAAGTTGCAAATGTTTTAATAGCTGTGCCACCTGCTTTCCAATGTTGCTGATGGCATTTTTTTGAGGTTAAGAATATGAAAATATTCAGAATGACATCATTAATACTTTTCTTTGTGTTTTAATCTTATGCTTTTCCCATTCAGGTTTAGCTAGGTGTGACACTTATTTCTCTTCTGGGGAGAGACAAAGTGTTTGTCTCATCTTTCAGCTTGTGGTCCGACATGAAGGGGAGCCAGGGCAGGAACTCCAGGCAGGAGGACGCGGAGGAGCACGGCTCACTGCCTCACTCGCTATATCCCTAGCTCTTTTGTAGCTAGAGGTCACCTGTGTGTCTATGACTGACTTACACGTGTGACATCCAGAGCATTCGTTCACTCTCTGAGACAACACCAGAGCTAGCCAGTTTTCCTGGGGTTAACTATCACATTATCCACATCTCTTTATTCTGGTCCCTGGGTTCTTTCCATTAGGAATTGAGTGACCATTGGCTCCCAGCTTCCTCCTCTGTTTCCCCAGTCTGTCTGTCTCCCCTCATCTCCTCACATACCATTCCATAGTATGTCATAGTCCTGTTTCCACTTTTTGAAAATGATCTTTTCTATCTTTAGCTGGTGACTTTTCTTATGTGCTAGGTCTCTTCTCAAACAGTAATTTTATTTTGGTTAGAAACAAATAAATTTTAAATTAGAGATCAATAGCTATTTTTACAATATTGTCATCTTCATAGTGGACTTCCCTTCATAAAACGTCAGGTGTCTCCATTTAGACTCCCCCCTCCACCCCCCGAGTTTTTCTGAAAACGTTATCTTCATCTAAATTATGGGTATTTTTAAATGCTCATGCACATTACATTTTACTGCTGCATGATTAGAATATCTTAGTTTTAACTTTCTAAATAGTCCTGAGACTGGGCCGGCCACTTGATTTCTGCATAGATGTTAATCGCTGGACATGGTCTGAGTTCTAAATTGTTTAAGTCGTTTTTCTCGTCTCTTTCCTTCCTAAGTATGAAATCATGTCACTGCTGAACAGGAAGGCACACACTTGTAATCGCAGTCCTAAGGAGGCTGAGGTAGGAGGATCACCATGCATTCAAGGTCACGTATTCGCTGACCTACACAGTGTGTTCCAGTCGGCTGGAGCTACAATGAGAGCCCTTGTGGCTGGCAAATAAATAAATAGAAGAAAATCGTGTCATTTGCAGAGGCTGCCCTAGCTTTCCAGATGTGTGCTTCTGACCCGTTGTTTTTAAAGAGCTTTTAGAAGTACGAACAGATGATGTGGGTCAATAGCAAGCACTCTGGCCTTCACCTCGGCTGCAGCTGAGTTTGTCTGTGATGTCACCACGCAGTGGGAAGCTGTGCAGAAGGCTGAAGCACATTCTACTATGCCCATGATGCATTTTAGTCCTGTTTTATTAGGAGTTTAAAAACTGATCAAGGACATAGGGCAAACTTGATGGGATATGATTTTAGAATCACATGGTTTGGTCTTTTGACGGGCTGATGGGATGAATTATTTAATAGGCATTCTCTAATGTTGAATTCCTTCTGCAGTAGACCTGCTCCTTGCCATGCATGCTCCTTTAACTAGAGTGTGAGGATTAATTTCCCGGCACTTCATTTAGAATTTGTGATATGTGCTTTACGTGAGATGGGATCCTTGTTTTCTCTTATATGCTTTGCCAAAGCTCTTTACTTTTTTTCATTCAACGCGTTTGGAGCGCTTCCTATTGTCCAGGCGGTCCTATCTTCGAATGAGATCTCCCTTTAAGAATGAGGTTTATCTGAGCATGGTTTGCTTACTGCAGACTCACTCATTTTAAGTGTCCTGCTCGATAAACTTTGGCAAATGTCCACAGCTGTGCCACCTCCACACACAACACCTGCATTAGTTTTTATCTCAAGAAGCTTCTACACTGTCTGCCAAGCCCTGGCATCAAGCCATGGCTGATGAAACTTTGGTCATTAAAGGTATTTTCACTTACTAGAATTTGAGGCAAATGGAGTGATATTGTAAGTCTGAGCCTGTCTGTATTGAATGCACATAATGGGTACAGAAACCATGCCCACCGTTGCATGTGACAGTGATTTATTTCTTCTTACTGTTGAGTACCCACTGGATGGGTAGCAACAACATACTTATCTGCCATCCTGTTGAAAGACATTTGGGTTGTGTGCAATTTGGGGGCTATTGTGAATAAAGGTAGCCTGCAAATCTCCACGTAGGTATTTATGGAATTACACATTTTCATTTCTCTTAGGTAAATATGTAGGGGTGGGATTCATGGCAATATTCACTAGTAAGCAGATGTTAGCTTTAGGATTTTAGTTTTTCTTTTTTATTGTGTAAATATAGTGAATGACATGGGTTTTGAGTGTTAAACCGACCTTGAATTCCTAGAATAAGCCTTACTTGGTTACCTGATACTGTACTTTCTAATGTATTGATGCATTTAGTTTGCTAATGTTTACAGAAAACTTGTTGTATTTGTAATCATGAGAGCTAAGGACAGTTGTCTCCTCTATAAAACCTTGTTAGAATATTGTTAGATTTGTTTTTAAAAAGTTGCCAGGCAGTTGGGGGAACACGCCTTTAATCCCAGCACTTGGGTGGCAGAGGCAAACAGATCTCAGTGAGTTTGAGGCTAGCCTGGTCTACAAAGTAAGTTCCGGGCTTACTACAAACCCTGTCTCGAAAAATGAAAAAAAGTTGGAAAGTTCCTTCTGCCTCAGTTTTGTAGGGTTTCTCTTAGGAGTCACCAGCAAGCCATCTGAGGAGCTTAAACTTTTCCTGAGTTTTTCGTTGAATTTCATTTCTCTTAGTGACAGGAAGCTAGTCAAATTTTCCTGCTGACTTTGAACCACCTTTAGTACTAGTGTGTCTCGAAACCTCTGCTGCGTACCAGCAGCCCCCAGTAGGCGGAGTGGGCTGTCTACCCCAGTCTTCCAGTGTCTGAGTCTGATAACCTTCATGCTTCATTATGAGCTTGCAGCCCACAGCAAGCTTTTCTGTTTGGAGGGCGCATGGAACTCCAATTTCCTTGAGAACCCCTCTAGTGGCTCTGACTTTTGCCTGGGACACTTTTCCTGGCTTTTGCGGGTGATCGGCCCTGGCATGGCAGTGCATCCTTAGAGAGGCCCTTGCCACTCCTACCTGCCCTACATGTTGCTGCTCTTGTTCCTCCTAGTCCACGACTCCAGGACAGCGGGGCCTGACCTGATTTCTCACTGTTGGGTCTCCAGTACCCAGAACTGAATGAGTTCTTAGATCTGTGTTGGACCCCCATGGCTGAGTGAACAGGGAACTTGACTGTGTAGATACTCTGAGAGGAGAGCCTTGCCAAGCTGAGAGCAAGTTTAGAGACGATCTCCACAGCTCTGTGTATTTATGTCTGAGATATGGGAGCTCAGCAAAATGCCCCAGATGTTAACGTCAAGCCCCAAAGGCACATCAGTTTGCAGGAGACATCCAGGTGACTTGAGTGACAGGCCATGAGCAGCTCACGAACTAAACACACGTACTGAGGCTCTAAGAGCCAAGCGGTGAAGATTCTGAAATTCTCTGGGATTTTTCTTTTATTAAATTTTTTTTTTTTTGAGACAGCTGCCTACCCCTCCCCGGTCTTCCCCTTCTATGGCTTTATTAGACGGAATGGGCTGGGCTGTGGGTAATGAGATCTGATGGTCGTCACCTATGCCCTAAAGAACTCTCTCTTCTATTCTGGGCACTCACCTCTTTGTTTATGTAGCCGTCTTTATTGATGTCATACAAATTAAATGTCCACCTTAGCTTTTCGTGGACTGTCCCTCTCAGTAAAATAGACAGAGCCGTCACGAAGTCCTAGGAAGTGGAAAGGCAAGAGTAAAAGTTAATCCCTGAGCCATCGCATGGCTGGAGGGAAGCCTCACCCCCAGGTTAGACTACTGTGCTTTTTACAAAATGGTGCCTCCCACATCCTCCCATCAGCTAGGTGGAAATGGGAAATGGCAGCAAAGGACATCCGTCATCCATTCCCCATACTACAGCTTCTGATGCCCCTTTTGTATGTGTGGACACCCCAAGGCCGTAAATTCTGCTTTCCCTGTTGATCCTAACCCATGGCTGCAATGGTTGTGTTCTAGTGGCTTTGAGCCAGGCTGAAGAAGCATACTGCCCGTGTTCAACCCTCCCAGCCCCCGCCCCGCTTGGCCACTTGCTCTCTCTTTGACCTTGGAAAAGCTACTTGACCTGTGCCTTATTTTCTTCTGTAAAATGATAATATAACTCCCACTTTGTAGTGCTATTATAAAAGTTAAGCAAGTTAATAAATGCAAAATGCTAGCTCCAGAGGCTACCACCCAGCCTGCGGAGCACGGGAGCTTTTAAGTTGTCTCCATAACCCACTCCCAGTGTCTAGGGGGCAGGGGAAGTCTCCTCTCTGTCCTCAGGCGATGTTTGTTAAATGAGTAAAGTTTTTTTTTTTTTTTTTTTTGTCTTAACTGTATAATTAACTATTTCCTCCAGGAGCCCCAGATTTGGAGCAAGAGGCAATGAGGAGCCAGGAGACAACCAAATCATACCTCGAACTTCACAGAGCCTGTCTGGGTGGTGTCGAAGGCATTGAAGAGGTAATGAGCATACATGCTGGCGTCTGTAAATGGGAGGGAAAAGCAGGTGAGCTGGGGGCCAGTTTCCACAGAGGGCAGAGACAGCACTGGAAAACAGGCAGGTGGGACCAGAGAGAAGGGAGGGAGTATGGATCGAGACCCATTTGCTCAGCCCCTGGAGTTTAGGCTAGAAGCTAAAGTTCTAGCAAAAGGTTTGGCAGGTCCTTGGCTCTCTCTACCTCATCATCTTGAGAATGGTTCCCTGCCTGTTTCTCTGTATGACCTGTTTCTCTGGGCATTCCCTTGTGAGCAGGGATCTGAGCTCGGATCCAGGATGTTTCCATAGAGCCGTGCCTGTAGACAGCTGACGAAACATCTTTGAACATCCATTCCACATGCGAAGAGATGCTTTAACCTGGAGCCTCCCTGCCACATAGTGAAAACAGCATCCCCGTGGCCTTCATAAACTGGGAGCCTGGTGCTAGCGTGACATGAAGCTACTTCTCCCCAACACAGAGACCCACACCAGGGGGACACCTGTGTGAGGCTGAACAGACCCATGGTTGACAGGGCCCAAGAAGGATGTGGTACACTTGAGTATCTTGTTAGAACCCAGAAGAGGTGTTCCGCAGCTGTCCAGCTGACACTTGTAGGCAGGTGACACAAAAAAGTCACAAGAGGAAGGGTCTCCTGAAGTGTGAAGCATTTCCAAACTGGGCAGGTGGTGGGGGTCCATTGCCCTCAGTAACTTGGCTTTGTAGGTGAGTACAATGTCACACTGTCCACAATTGATTTTGATTTGTTGATTTTTTTATGGTCTGTAGTATTTACTAATGTTGTTTACAAATTTTAACCTGTCTTAGCAATTTAGTGAACCAAGATGTCAAGGATTTTGTCCCATATACGTTCTTTTCCTTGTCTGCCACACATAAGCTGTGTGATCTTGAGTAAATTGCTTCAAGTCTCTGAAACTCAATTGTTCCTTCTGGGGTCATGACACCTGCTTTCGAGCCCTGATACTTCCTGATACTGCACTACCAGCCCTTCTTTTGGAGTGGGTTCATTTCCCCCCAGAAAATCCTGTATTTCTGTCGTAAGGGGAAGAAAGAGCTCACCCTAAGTTCTCCTCAGACCCCGAGGAAGACGGAGACAAAGACTGGGGGTAGTCGGAGGAAGGGAAGGCTGATCATCGGAGAGGATGCTGGGAGGCTATTTTCCAAGGATCTACTCACCTCCATGAGGGAAAAACTGCGCGTAGATCTGCTTGAATGTTTCTTCATTGACCACGCCACTGGGGCACTCCTGTGTGGAGCGGAGAGCAAGTGAGTGGGAAAGGTCTGGGAGGCTACACTGGGGCACTCCTGTGTGGAGCGGAGAGCGAGTGAGTGGGAAAGG